AAGTAAAGGTAAAGGTACCCCTGCCCGTACGGGCCAGTCTTGACAGACTCTGGGGTTGTGCGCCCATCTCACTTAAGAGGCCGGGGGCCAGCGCTGTCCGAAGACACTTCCGGGTCACGTGGCCAGCGTGACAAAGCTGCATCTGGCGAGCCAGCGCAGCACACGGAATGCCGTTTACCTTCCCGCTTGTAAGCGGTCCCTATTTATCTACTTGCACCCGAAGGTGCTTTCGAACTGCTAGGTTGGCAGGCGCTGGGACCGAATGATGGGAGCGCACCCCGCCGCAGGGATTCGAACCGCCGACCTTTCGATCGGCAAGTCCTAGGCGCTGAGGCTTTAACCCACAGCGCCACTAGTAAGGTATAAAAATCACAGTGAGGTTAATTGGAAGTTAAAGGGTATGTAATGTCAAATGAGGTGTTGTTAGTCAGTGTCTATGGTCTGTTTATGTTGTCATTCTTTCTTTTTACGTTCTATGTAAAATGTTTTGTAATAAAGAATCTTTTTAAAATAAAATAAAAAGTTAAACTAACGAAATGGATAAATTTGGAAATATAAATAAAAAACGAAAATAAAAGAAGGAAAGAAGAAGTTGGTAGAAAGAAGTGAGAGGTAGATGGGGCTCATCCACCTGGGCAGGTAGCCCATCTCGGAGAAGGCAAAGTCCGATCCTAAACCAGACTGCCTCGTTAGGCTACTGCTGTGCGCTGAACATGGGTCTAGCCCTGCACTCAGTTCGGAAGCTGCCTCTAGTATAGAAAACAGCAGCTAGGTGGGGCTCATTGAGACTCTGGCAGGACACAGACCCCTTGGACTAATAATAATAATAATAATAATAATAATAATAATAATAATAATAATAATTTATTTATACCCCGCCCATCTGGCTGGACATCTGCACCCTGGGCAGCTTCCAACAAAGTATTAAAATACAGTGATCTGTTAAACATTAAAAGCTTCCCTAAATAGGGCTGCCTTCAGATGTCTTCTAAAAGTCTGGTAGTTGTTCTTCTCTTTGACATCTGATGGGAGGGCGTTCCACAGGACGGGCGCCACTACCGAGAAGGCCCTCTGCCTGGTTCCCTGTAACTTGGCTTTTCGCAGGGAGGGAACCGCCAGAAGGCCCTCGGAGCTGGACCTCAGTGTCCGGGGTGAAAGATGGGGGTGGAGACACTCCTTCAGGTATACTGGACCGAGGCCGTTTAGGGCTTGAAAGGTCAGCGCCAACACTTTGAATTGTGCTTGGAAAAGTACTGGGAGCCAACGTAGATCTTTCAAGATCAGTGTTATATGGTCTTGGCAGCCGCACCCAGTCTAGCTGCCGCATTCTGGATTACCGGTAGTTGTAGTTTCCGGGTCACCTTCAAAGGTTGCCCCACGTAGAGTGCATGGCAGTAATCCAAGCAGCAGATAACCAGAGCATAAGGCGAAACAGCTGCCCAGGCTGCCTTTAAGCCCCCAAGCTGTGTCCAAGTTTCTATTACAAGGGTAAGATAAAGGTAAAGGGACCCCTGACCATTAGGTCCAGTCGTGGCCGACTCTGGTGTTGCGGTGCACATCTCGCTTTACTGGCCAAGGGAGCCGGCGTATAGCTTCCGGGTCGTGTGGCCAGCATGACAAAGCCACTTCTGGCGAACCAGAGCAGCGCACGGAAACGCCGTTTAGCTTCCCGCCAGAGCAGTACCTATTTATCTACTTGCACTTTGAGTGCTTTTGAACTGCTAGGTTGGCAGGAGCAGGGACCAAGCAACGGGAGCTCACCCCGTCGCGGGGATTCGAACCACCAACCTTCTGATCGGCAAGTCCTAGGCTCTGTGGTTTAACCCACAGCACCAACCGCTTGGCGGGTGTAAAGGATATAAAGGACCAAATCATTCGCGTGCCCCCACCAGCTCTCCATCCTCACCTGTATCTCCTGCTTGGCAGCATTCTCTGGGCCTTCATCGCCTTCCACCCAAATTGCCACTCTTGAATTTGCGTCTTCTGGTGGGGCGGCAGCCCCTCTCAGCACCAAGCCCACCACTAGCCCCAGCAGCAGCCAGACGCACCGCATCACCCTCGAGGCGCTCCGAGGCGCCGCACGACTCTTTGCGTGTGGATTTGGGGAGGGGAGAAGCTCTTGTTGATGGCGGAGGAGGTACGGGGAGAGAATGAGTGCCCAGAGGGAGAGATTTGGAGAGGAATGTGTTCCGCAAGCGGGAAGGAAGTTTCCAAAGCGATCGCTTTGTGCTGGAAAGGGGAACTAAAATCAAGGACTAAGTTGGGTAAGAATCTAGCAGAAGAGGCATGGTACTAGTTTGTTATGGAAAAGACGGGGGGGGGCACATCTTTAAAGTTGTTACAATGTTATAAAAGGTCCATGAATAATAATAATAATAGCATGGAGGTCCAGGGCCCTAAGGAAGCCAGACTATCCTCCACCAGGGCCAGGGCCTTCTCAGTGGTGGCTCCGACCTGTTGGAATGCTCTATCCCACGAGACTAGGGTCCCTACAGCACTTGATCTCCTTCCGCAGGGCCTGTAAGACAGAGCTATTCCGCCTGGCCTTCAATTTGAATTAGCCCTATCCTCTATTCCCTTTTCCCTTTCCTCTTCTATGAGGAAACCCTTTCTGTAACCTCACATTTAAATTCTTCCCTGGTATCCTCGCTGGCCCTAGTAGGACCAACTTGGCCAGTTAGCCCTGGTGCTCATTTGAGGTCTACTGACTGGGTTTGTTTGTTTGTTTGCTTGTTTGTTTGTTTGTTTGTCCCCACAAATGACCCCTGAAATGTTGAATTTTATTGATATTGATGATGCTGTTTTTAAGTCGCATTTTAATCAATGTTTTATATTTGCTGTTCGCCGCCCTGAGCCCGGTTTTTAAACCGGGAAGGGCGGGGTATAAATAAAAATTTATTAGTTATTATTATTAAATATTATGCCTGAATATATCCTTTTGACTTGACAGCTCAGGGAAGATACCTAGCTTTAAAAATTTATACAAAATCCAAACTTTAACCGAATCTCCTCATTCCAACGCCATTTTAACCATTAAAGAAAGGTGAATTTGGGCTCCACCTCCCTCCATGAACCAGGAAGCAGGAAGTCCTGTAGGCTGCAGGAACAGGGCATCCCACCATAATTCCCCAAGCGTGAGAGCACATCCATGGCCCCCCACTCAGGGAGTGACCAGGGGGGCAACACTAGACATCTGCAGAGGCAGTTGAACAGGTCAGGTGTTCTGAAAGCCCATCTCCAGACATGTTCTGAGGGCAAGGAGATGGAAAGAGTTTTATTGTTCTTTCGGTATATAATAAAGTGACCTAATGTTGAACTTGTGTAACCCTTGTATAAAAGGTGAAGGGATCCCTGACCATGATGTCCAGTCGTGGCCGACTCTGGGGTTGCGGCGCTCATCTCGCTTTATTGGCCAAGGGAGCCGGCGTACAGTGTTACATGACTAAGCCGCTTCTGGCGAATCAGAGCAGTACACGGAAACGCCGTTTACCTTCCCACTGGAGCGGTTCCTATTTATCTACTTGGACTTCTGACGTGCTTTTGAACTGCTAGGTTGGCAGGAGCAGGGACCGAGCAATAGGGGCTCACCCCGTCGCAGGGATTCGAACTGCCGACCTTCTGGTTGGCAAGTCCTATGCTCTGTGGTTTAACCCACAGCGCCAACCATGTCCCTTAACCCTTGTATACCTCTCCCCATTTGTGACATGCTAGATGACCCACCATGCGGGTGGCGCTGTGGTCTAAACCACTGAGCCTCTTGGGCTTGCCAATCAGAAGGTCGGCGGTTCAAATCCCTGCGACGGGGTGAGCTCCCGTTCCTCGGTCCCAGCTCCTGCCAACATAGCAGTTCGAAAGCACATCAAAGTGCAAGTAGATAAATAGGTACTGCTCCGGCGGGAAGGTAAACGGCATTTCCGTGCGCTGCTCTGGTTTGCCAGAAGCGGCTTAGTCATGCTGGCCACATGACCTGGAAGCTGTACGCCGGCTCCCTCGGCCAATAAAGCAAGATGAGCGCCGCAACCCCAGAGTCGTTCGCGACTGGACTTAACTGTCAGGGGTCCTTTACCTTTTTTTAGTGATGTAGTGATGATGTATCAATGATGCAGCTCAAATTGTATTCTGGGGCAAAGAGGGAAGTTTTAAAAGAGGGTGTCACTCCGTGCTCAGGGTTCTTACTCTAAGGTTACCAGATGTCCCCGTTTCCCTCGATTTACAAATCAGTCCCCATACAAAATCCATTGAAGTTGAAAAGTGTCCCCGGATTCATTGAAAAAAAATCTGATAACCTTATCTTACTCCTGTGGGGACCTGTTGCGCAACAATAAAGATCATGGTCTCCTGACTGCTGTTTTGCTCCAAATTGCTTGCCTGGACCTTCCCCTCGGGAGCACGCCCGCCCTGGGCAGCGCAGGAATATGCTCTGCCACTACTTAATGGCACATGTTAAGAAAAGGTAGAGGGACTCCTGACCATTAGGTCCAGTCGTGGCCAACTCTGGGGTTGCGGCGCTCATCTCGCTTTATTGGCTGAGGGAGCCATTGTACAGCTTCCGGGTCATGCAGCCAGCATGACTAAGCTGCTTCTGGCGAACCAGAGCAGCGCACGGAAATGCCGTTTACCTTTCCGCCAGAGCGGTACCTATTTATCTACTTGCACTTTGACGTGCTTTCAAACTGCTAGGTTGGCAGGAGCAGGGACCGAGCAATGGGAGCTCACCTAGTCGCGGGGATTCGAACCGCTGACCTTCCGATCGGCAAGCCCTAGGCTCTGTGGTTTAACCCACAGCGCCACCCGCGTCCCTATGGCACATATTGGTTTATCTTTAATAGCTATATCCCACACCTCTTTATGCAATTCTTCCAATTTATATTCCGCCTGCCCCTTCCACTTCCCAGCTATAAGAATACGGCTGCTTTCTGCCTTCATCCTTGCAGGCTGTTTTTAAGCTGCCCCGCTTACGAGGGTGTTTTTAAATTTATTTTCAGACAAACAAGGCCACCCACTTTTGCAAATGCTTTATTGAGACATAAGAGCTGGAAGCACCGTGAGAAACCTCTGCAAGAGCTGACTCTTCGCTCGTTGAGACTTTGCATCTGGGTGGAATATCCTCGGTTGCATCTCCTGGACCAGTCCGTGATTCTTTGGAGACTGGAGGGGGACAGAGAGAAGAGGGGCTGCCGAGGGTATGTTGCTAACAGGGAGTGTTCTTGCAGCGACCTTTCCATGCCTCATGTTTAGGGATACCTCCTTTCCATGCATCATGTTCAGGAATACCTCCTGCTATGGTACTGCCGCATCCAGGCCTCCAGGTCAGAACCCATGTGCCATTGACGCATACGCACTCGGAACAGGTGCTCCTTGCCTGCAACAGAAAGAGCCAAGGTTGGCAATGAGGATAATAATAATAATAATAATATTTATTATATATACCTCGCCCATCTGGCTGAGTTTCCCCAGCAACTCTGGGCGGCTCCCAATTCGAGTGTTAAAAACAATACAGCATTAAGTAGTTCAAGTTCAAGTTCATGTTTATTAAATTTGTGAGGTCCATGCCTTTACACAAAATACCATAAAACATTATTGAAAGATAGACAATAAAATTATAAAAGTAAGCTAAAATTCATGCCATGCTGTCCCAGCAAGGAAACTACCCAAAAAACCCCACCATTCAGGAAAGAAGATACAGCAACAGGTTAAGAGAGCAATGGGAGGGACCTCACCGTTTCCTCCAGGAACCGTACCCTAGTTTTCATAGCCTTCACCACAAAGACCGCTACCACGTGAGAAATCCGTGGATCAGCGTCCACCAGTAAAAACTTTACTTGGTCCTCAGAGTTGACTATTGATTTGGGAATAATTTGTAACATCGCATCCCTGAAGGCCGAATAGATGGGACAATACAACATGTAATGTGTGAGATCCTCTTTGGTTCTCATATGACAAGGACATATACGCTGCTTTACTGGGATTTTTGCATATCTGCCTGACAGATAGGCCGTAGGAATGGTTTGAAAACGGGCCATGGTGAAGGCTCTCCGAAGGGTGGGATTGGTGATATTCGCCAAGTAATTGGCGCAGGTTTTGACTGTTTTCAGTCGGGGAAACCAGTGGGAGGACCCTGGGTTCTGTATTTTTGTGATATCTAGCAAAGCGTCTCTCTCCAGGATCCATTCCCGAACTTTGTCCGGGCTCCACAGTTTGAGGATATTAAACTCCGGTAGGGTGTATCTAACCAGGATCTCAGATAGGTTTTGACGCCAAGTGGTGTTCTTTTGAAGAGATACAAAGGCTTGTTTGGCCAATAAGGTGTTTGAAGTGTTTGCAAGGTTGATGTAAAATCGTAGGAATCTTAAGTGGGCCCTGGCAGACACAGAGGGTAAACCAACCTCCACCCTCAAGAAAGCTGCTGGGGTTCCTTGAGGAAGGCCTAGAATCCTCTTGAGATAATAATTTTGCAAAATTTCAAGCCGTTCCAACAGCCTCTGGTTCCACCCCCAGAGTTCTATCCCATATAACATCTGGGGAATAGCTTTCCCAACAAAAGCTCTTAATGCCGGGATCACCAATTGTCCTCCCCGGGTATGGAAGAAACTAAGCAGGACACCAATTGTTCTTCGTGTTAGGATGGTTACAGCCTTAAATTGGGCTAGCCAACTAGATGTAGCCTGGAATGTGACACCCAGATATTTAAAAAAAGGGCACTGTTCAATCACATGTTCGTCTAAAGACCATCTAAAGGTGTGGCGAGCTCTAGTGAACACCACAATTTTTGTTTTGTCATAGTTTATCTTTAGTGAGTTATGGGAACAGTAGGCTGCAATCCCCTCCAGCATGTACAGCATTAAGTATTAAAAACTTCCCTGAACAGGGCTGCCTTCAGATGTCTTTTAAAGAGAAGATAGCTGCTTATTTTCTTCACATCTGAAGGGAGGGTGTTCCACAGGGCGGGCATCACTACTGAGAAGGCCCTGTGCCTGGTTCCCTGTAACCTCACTTCTCGCAGGGAGGGAACCACCAGTAGGCCCACGGCGCTGGATCTCAGTGTCCGGGCTGAACGATAGGGGTGGAGACGCTGCTTCAGGTATACTGGGCCTTTGAGGCCATTTAGGGCTGTCAAGGTCAGCATCAACACTTTGAATTGTGCTCGGAAACGTACTGAGAGCCAGTGTAGGTCTTTCAAGACAGGTGTTATATGGTCTTGGTGGCCGCTCCCAGTCATCAGTCTAGCTGCCGCATTCTGGATTAGTTGTAGTTTTCGGGTCACCTTCAAAGGTAGCCCCACGTAGAGCGCATTGCAGTAGTCCAAGCAGGAGATAACCAGAGCATGCACCTCTGGCGAGACAGTCTGCGGGCAGGGAGGGTCTCATCCTGTGTACCAGATGGAGCTGGTAGACAGCTGCCCTGGACACAGAATTGACCTGCGCCTCTATGGACAGCTGTGAGTCCAGAATGACTCCCAGGCTGCGCACTCCCAGGATAGGGTGAAAACAGTGTGACCAGCAACGGGTATGGGGTCTGAGCCCCCTAAGCAGGGCCAGTGACAGGTTCGTTGAAGGATCCATTCAAGTTGGCACGCTCTCCTCCACAGGTGGTTTTTAACCAGAGGTTGGGTGGCTATTTTAGCCATCATTTTAGGGGGTGAATCTTTGCAAATTTCTTCACTGAGTGGCCTGCAAAATGTGGCTTATTTGGGTATGAGGAATTCAAATCTATTCTTATTTTTGTGACTGGGCAACATTTAGCTTGGCATCATCCTCAATTTATTTATACCACACCCATCTGGCTGGGCTTCTAGCAAAATATTAAAATACAACAATTCATCAAATATTAAAAGCTTCCCTAAACAGAGCTGCCTTCAGATGTCTTCTAAAAGACAGATAGTTGTTTATTTCCTTGACATCTGGTGGGAGGGTGTTCCACAAGGCAGGCACCACCACCAAGAAGGCCCTCTGCCTGGTTCCCTGTAACCTCACTTCTCACAGGGAGGGAACCGCCAAAAGGACCTCGGAGCTGGACCTCAGTGTCCGGGCTGAACGATGGGGTGGAGACGCTCCTGCCTTCTAAATCTGATGCAGAAGCATATTAACTGCTTTCGGAAAACCAAATAATTTTAATGTTGCCTTCTTGAAATGTCAGGAAGTGTAAACAATAATAGCAGCAATCAATAATAATAATATGATTGCAAATAGTTGGCAATCCAGTTTAGTGATTTCTGTTCAGGTTTACACACATTGTGCTTGCCCAGCAAGGACCAATCACGTTCCTTTCACCAAAATACCTTTTGTATTCCCAAGCCGGATAGAACTTTTGAGCACCTCGTTTTGGAAGCTAAAGCTGAAATTGACATGACTATGAGACCAGCTGGGATTCTTTAGCTGCGATTCCTGCCATCGGAGGATCGTTGGGCTAGGAATGCAGGGGCCAGTCCACACATGAGGCAAGGCGATGTGGACCTGCCGTCAGACGGCAGGAATCCACAGGGGCTGTGATGGCCTGGGAATCGGATTCAGAGGCTGAACCTGAGGAATCCCAGTCTGTACAGGAGTCCCCGCCTCCAGAACCAGCTGAGCCAGGGCTGGGGCCTGAGCCTGAAGGGTCCTCACCTGTGCTGGATCCTCAGGTGCAGGCATCAGCTGAGTCTGCTCTGGCTCCTGAGGTGATGGAGGACCACTGCCTGCAGGTGCTCCACTCTCAGCCCCGTCAGGGGAAGCTGAGGTTGCCTCTGGGTCTGGTAACCCTCCACCTCTCCTGAGCTACAGAGGCTCAGGGCAGAGAGGCGGAGAGAACTAAGTTCTCAACAGGAGGAGTGCCTCACCTCCAGGCCAGGAGAGGCGAGTCACCTGTGGACCGGGGCACCCCTAGGCCTCAGAGGAGATAAAGGCCAGCCTGCCCAGTCCCAAGTTGCGGGAGCAACATCGTTGGTTACCTGTTCCTGCTGGCACCCTATCCGGCTTCTGGCCAAGAGTTCCTGACCACACCCGACTCCCTGCCTTGGACCCCGTTTTAGACTCAGACTGGACACAGACCACGCTGCACGGTAACGCCCCCCCCCCGAACCAGCACAGGAGCAGAAGATACAGCCTTCAAGGAATTCATCACTTGGTGCAGGAGCCGCCGGCAGTGGCGTTAGCAAGGTGATTGTGGTACCCGGTGCAAAAAAAAAAAAAATTGTCAACCCCCCGCATTGAAATTCCCCCTTCTTCCCTCCAAACTCCCCCATCAGAGAAAGCCTTGCAGGCAGCTATCTGATGTATATCCCCCTTCTTCCCCCTCTCTCCCTCCATCAGATAGCAGCCTGCGCAGCTTTCTTTGAGGGGGGTGGAGGGAGGAAGGAAGGGGGAGAAGGCAGGAATATACACCAGATAGCGGCCTGCAGGGCCGATCGGCACGCATCTTGCAGGGGGTTGGACTAGATGACCCTCGGGTCCCTTCTGTTATGCACTGAAGTTCTCACCCTGGGCCAGCAGGGGGGTACTGTAGATAGTTTTCACTCAGGTCCACATATGCAATAAGGGATTGAAAGTGACGTTCAGTGATTGGATAGTTACAGAAAGTGGTTACTGTTGCATTGTAGTGGAGCTCTATATAAGCAGGATGGCTGAACCCTTCAGTTCAGATCCGTTTTGGCCTGTGAATAACAAGAGCTGTTTGAAGAATCGCTGTGTCGTCTGATATGTTCACCCACAACTTAACACCTTCCAATTCTACGATTCTATGATTCTACAATAGCTGGCATATGTGAACATGCCACAGTTTCCTCAATCCAGATGTAATGTTTTATTTTTTTTATCATCATCATCCTCAAGCCTTTATTGGCATCACTTACAAACATCTAGAATAAATGTTGTTGTTGTTGTTTAGTCGTTTAGTTCGTGTCCGACTCTTTGTGACCCCATGGACCAGAGCACGCCAGGCACCTCTGTCCTCCACTACCTCCCGCAGTTTGGTTAAACTCATGTTAGTAGCTTCGAGAACACTGTCCAACCATCTCGTCCTCTGCCGTCCCCTTCTCTTTATGCTTTCCCAACATCTTTCCCAACAGCAGGGTCTTTTCCAGGGAGTCTTCTCTTCTCATGAGGTGGCCAAACTATTGGAGTCTCAGCTTCAGGATCTGTCCTTCCAGTGAGCACTCAGGGCTGATTTCCTTCAGAATGGAGAGGCTTCATCTTCTTGCAGTCCATGGGACTCTCAAGAGTCTCCTCCAGCACCATAATTCAAAAGCATCAATTCTTCGGCGATCAGCCTTCTTTATGGTCCAGCTCTCACTTCCATACATCACTACTAGAATAAATAGGCCAGTGCAATCTCGTCGCTATTTCAACAGTACAGTATTTTTTAATTTATTTTATCTATTTCATAGGA